CCCCAAAACCCCAAAACCCCAAAACCCCAAAACCCCATGTGTGCATCAAATCATTGACTTATTTTATTTACGATAATATACTAAAATGGACTTCGCAACATACGGTAAGCTATTCAATGATAAGATTGTATAGACAAAGTAAGGAACTAAATAGACTTCCTGATCTGAGAGTCTCTTCCTAGGATTAAAAATTTACTATCAAAAAGTCCATAATCAGAGCATATCTTAGCCCATAATACTGATAAATCGTGAAGGATTTTATTACAAAAACTTCTGTGTTGCCTAGTCGTAGTTCAGAGGTTAACTTCTTGCTCTAGACCTCAGATAAGCAGGATCAGTACGATGAAGATTACGAGCAAGACTCTCACTACTCAAAAAGTAGGTTATCTCTCAAACCCTATAGGCCAGAATGAGAGTGAGACCCTTTTCCCATCAGTAAAGAAAACTATGGGTACTAAACAGCTGGCTTCCTCCTACAACGAAGATATGGGTAGTCTCGAAGTAATTAATGACAGAATGAAGGAGGAGTTGCAATCCCTTCTAACAAATCTAGAGAGTCACCTAGAGAAAGCCAAGGAAAACAAGAGGAGATATCTCGAAGCTAAAATGCAGACTGATGGGTTATATAACAAAGATGAAGGTACCTTTGCCTCAGCTAATGCTCCGCTATAGATCTCTATTCAGCCCAAAATAACATCAACAAGCTTGAGAAAGACATTAAAAGAATGAAATAGGGACCTCAACCGTGCTTATGGAATTGACAAAATTACCAAGTAAGACTTTATGCTATATTTCTAGTCTCGAAAATGAACTAGCTCAATACAACAAGGAAGCGAAGATCCTTGAGAAAGACACCCTTGGACTCCGGTTCATCAAGAACGCTCACATAAAAGCCCGTAAAGAGATAGATGCCAACCTTGCTGCTAAGAGCAGATACTCAAACCTTAAGGAAGAAACTGATAATACAAAGAGAGAGCTCAAGGAGAAATTAGAAGAGCTCAAGGAAAGAGAAAGGTTAGTCGCTGTAGAACACCAACAGGTCATTGAGCTAGAAAACCAGTGCAGGAAGTTAAACCAGCTCCTCAGAGATCACAACAGGGGTGAACAAGTAATCCCTGGGCCAGTCCCTGATATCAGTGAAAACGATATCCAAGATCTTGAGAACGAAATTGAGAAGCTTTCCAACCTCAGAGCATCTGAAGAGCAGAAATACAAAAAGATGCACAAAAAGTACCAGGCTACTCTAGCTGAAAAGACCCAAGAAGTGAATGATTTTAGGAGAAAAGTTAAAGAAAAAGAGCAAGAGTGCAAACTGGGCGAATTCAAGATTAACCAATTCAGAAGAAGTATTCCCAGAAATACCCTGCTACAAATGAATACCACTGCTGGTGGATTCTCGACTGTGAAGATAAAGGGGTCATCCACCCAGTATCATAAAACGTTAAAATCTTCAAGGATGGCCTTTAATTCTACCGGTAAGTTTCTTGTATTGACCCTGTAGAATTTACTGAGAGTAAGGAGGTGAAAGGCATTACCAATATTAAGACCAAACTTCCCTCGGCTACTAAGAAGCAGAAGGCTCATAGGTACAGCCTCGATGAGAAATCTGAGACTAAAAATATCACGAAGACTATTAAGAAGAACAGGAAGAGTAAAATAAAGTTGTAATTAATCCACTTTTAAATTCCGAATGGGGTTTTGGGGTTTTGGGGTTTTGGGGTTTTGGGGTTTTGGGG